AGATACCGTCGCAGAGGAGCTTTTGAAATCCCTGCAGTAGGCCACGTTCTAGGCCTGATTTTCCACACTAGCGGGTGGGAAAAAATGTATAAGCCCACAGCTGTCAACCCGTACGGTTTAACCCGTATTCTTGTACAGGAAAAATGAGTTTTCAAGTCAATACCACGTTACAGGCGTTTCAATCCTGGCAATTTTGTCTCTTTGTGTTACTCCCTTGTGATGGGACATTGTAGGATGGACGTTGAGATTTGTAAGGGCACGGGGTGACCAATAAGGTCTGAATTGGTCTGTAATAAGGTAGGGCACTGATAAGGGGTTGACAGGTTTGTAAGCCCTGTATAACATGTTTATCGCATGGTTATACGGCACTTATTTTTTTGTCACAGAACTCTTCATGGTTGGTTTACTCTTCAACAATAACCTTCAGAACGGGACAAATGAAGGGATCACATGGGTGGCTCTGCGAAATCCGCTTCCGTGGGACCATTCTCAAACACGGAGGCTTGCGCTGCTGCGCGAGAAATCCCATTGCCAACTTGGGTCTCGAGTCACGCTTCTGTTGTAGGCACAATCGCGATAAAAACTGCAAAAATGATCTCGCAGTGTCGCGGCACATTTTCCGGTGATCATCGCCGAAGAATTGCCGGACGGCTGCGGAATGCGCGTACGTACGCTGGACTTATTTCGCACCTTACGTAGCCGACCGCGCTGGTCAGAGGCGCGGGCAAAAGTACAACAAATTAAAACGCAATAAAAAGCAGTTGGCCTGTAGACCGCAGCCAGCTCACCATCTCGGCGGAGAGCATGGCTTAGCCGGCAAGGCAAAGCTCACCCGGCCCTTCACTGCACAGCGTGTGCCCCGCGCGCATTGACCCGCCGATGCCGAACTTGCGTCGGCGGAAGAGGCCGGTGGATCGAGGTGACTGCTGCTGCTGCTGCCCGCGTCTCTTGTCGCTCCGAGCGAGCGTTCAAACGCCCGCTCGCTGCTGCCGGGCTCGCGGAGCCCCGCTCATTAACGCTTGGCGGCAAGAGGGAGACGGCGGCGGCGGCGTCTCGGTTAAAGCCGCGCGCGGAGCTCTCGGTGCGCGGCGCGATTAGCGCCGATTTGCCTCTCGAAGGAGGTGGCTGAAGGTTCCTGCGGCTCATTCCGTGCGCTCGCCTTCTGCCGCGGCTCAGTGGTCGCGGGGAAGGGCTGTTGCTTCTTGCTCTTCGGACGGAAGTCGAAGGCCACGTCTCGGCCTGCAAGGACAACGCGGACACGCGAGGCCTCTCGAGAGGGTTTATTAAGCCTCGGCTCGCTCTTGTCTGTGAGATGCTGCCGCGGTGGCGGGGTGGCGTAGCGGTGAGCACGCACTGGGCGTGCGATGCTAATTTTTATTTGACCAAGTAAGGCCCACCGAGCTACACAGCTCTTTTTCAGAAGGGACCTGGCCACTAATGATAGCACAACGAAGTGACTTAGCGCGTGGAAATTTATAGCAGCCAAATACTCTCTAAATGCGTGATGTTGATTCTAAATGTGGAGGGAAAAACCGGAGGGCCCGGAGAAAAATTCACGCGACCATGGGGAGAGAGACACACAAACTCGAAATATACAGGCGTCAGGGTTGAGATCGAACCCACGAACTCCTGCACACCAGGCGAGGGAGTTAACATCTGACCACCGTGGCGCAATCTGCCGGTTCATTTACCCAGCGCGGCAGTTAAAACGATGGGGAACTCTCTCAAATTCCCCCCCACCCCCGCCTCTGTCCATCAAGCGGTGTATAATTTAGCACACCACAATTTGTCGATTGGCAGGTCGTGTATATGTACGTATGTTGAACTTCTTTCGCACCCTACGTAGCCAACCGTGCAAATCGCAAGTCGCGTGTGGTGGGGTAAAGTGTGGTGGGGTAAAGTGTGGTGGGGTTAAGTGTGGTGGGGTTAAGTGTGGTGGGGTTAAGTGTGGTGGGGTTAAGTGTGGTGGGGTTAAGTGTGGTGGGGTTAAGTGTGGGTATTCTCCCACCTCTTCCAAGACGTCTGGCCAGTGTGGAAGAGGAGGCCAAAACGCCGTTCTAAAGGAGCTCCTTGTAGCGTCCTCTAGTGGAAGGGCCCCTTTTGCCAACGGCGGCGTGAGCGAGCAGTTACAGGGCTGCGCCTTTGCCTCCGATGTGCTGACTTGGTGACGCTCGCCCAGAGGACAATTCCCGTCGCGTTCCAGACTCACGAGTAGAATTTTTCAGTAAGATTGGACCGAAAAAAAGACAAATATATTTTTTATCTGATAGAATCAACTTTTTATTTCCTGCCAGAGGAAGACACAAATCCAAAACAGTGAGCAGCTCTTGCAGCGATGCACCGAGGACGTTCGACCCGGGCTGTTTGACACGAGTCTTACTCTTCGTCCATAAAAAAAAAACAAATATCTTAATAGCGACTTACCCAACCCACCTGACGTAGTAATTTCTACACATAATATGTGCCCGTTATTCGACCCTTTCACTTCTCCGTCTTTTCCTCGATCTTCCGGCGATTGGGATACGCAACGTTGTACAGCGACGCGAAGAAATTGCGCCCGGTGGATAACGGCATTTTCCGCTGATCAATTGTCGATGCAGTTAATAGGAGGTGTGCGTATCAGCACCCCTGGAAAAGTGGAGTGTTGCTGCGTCAGGAGCTTTCAGCCCTGTACGGACGGTAAACAGGAGTCGTTATGCAGATGGAGGCACACTGCAGTCACATATGGCTTTGCCGAAAATATCAGGTTTGGAGGAATTGTGGCATCAGCCATTAATCATTGACTTGCCCATCGACCCAAGGAGTAACTACGTAGCTATGGATTATTCATTGAGTGTTTCTCAAGCCCAGCCACACAGCGCAAAAGGATATCGTATATCAATGGTCCGCCATCTGATCGTACAACAGGGGATTCACAATGGGTGAAGGGAATGGCGTATTCAGGCAGCAGACACGCGGTTCCACGTCCTTCCTTCCGTTTTGGGAAACGAACCTTCACGCCGGCTCTTGGCGTTGCCTGCTGTTGTTCGTCGTTGCTTTGCACTGATATTGTGAGGCGGCTGCGTGGCTCAAGAGATCTCCGTCTCCATCCGATCAGTACGCTGGCAATGCCGAGATCCTGGCTCAGAAACCAATAGTTTCACCAAAGAGTTCTACGGGGTTTGTCGGCTCAATTAAATAAATTGTGTTTTTTGTTACGTCTCAGAGTGACCGTCCCCAGATCTGAGGTTCGCGTAGCACTGTTGTAGCTGGAGGACAGCTGCCACTCTCGCTTATCCAGTGGCATCCTTCGTAAGCGTCCTCCACAGAGGTTGATCCCTGATACCATTGATATCAAATGTCAACAAGTTCACTCAGTCGTCTTGGTGCACATTAGCACATCGCCCCTTTGGGGTATACCGCACCCATTCACTCTCCTTCTACCCAGCCAAACAGGAGTTACTAGGGCATGCGGTGGCTTGCATGATAGAACATTGCCCAGGCGTATCCGATTATCTCTGAGCTCCTTACACAATCCAACCTCGGCAAGCCCAGAATGGATTGTAGGCGGGCCATCCTGAATATTGGAGGCTGGCAGAGAGGTTGTTCCTGTGAAGGAGTTCTTGTTTCACAGACGTACATAGTTTGAGTTTAGTTTGGTACAAACAAAATGAAAACATGATTGCGTGCCGCAAAGTTGCAATTCCCATGCCACACTTCTTCTCTCGCCGTCTCCTGCTTGAAAAAAAATCTTCAGGATCGGAATTTTTACTTGCACTGGAAGAATCCGGTGAACTATGAAGCTCTTTTTCACGGATGTCCGGTGATCTTGAGTGTTTAACATTGACCAACACTTCGGTACACGGGCACAAAAAAAAGCAGTGCTTCAAGGATCGAACATTGATGTTTACACCACAGTGGTCAAGACGTTTCCACCTCCTCTGTCGACATGATACGGTGCATCATGTGAAACTAAACTTAAACAAAAACTATTTTACCAGTTAAGGTCCACTGAGCTATACAGCTCTTTTACAGAAGCAACCTGACTATCACAATTGATAGCCCAACCAAGTGGCTAAATACTCTAAACGAACGTTGATTCTTAATGTGGAGGGAAAACCAGAGGACCCGGAGAAAAATCCACGCGACCACGGGGAGCGAGAGAGAGAGAGAGAGAGACGCAAACTCCAAATATACAGCAGGCCTCTGGCTGGGGATCGAACCCACGACCTCCTGTATACCAGGCGAGGTAGTTAACATCTCCTAGCCACTGCGGCGCCCATCATTCCCGCTCTCCGCGGACCACGGTTCTAGGCCGCGTGGCCCAAGTCCAATCGAGCGCGAGGCCCATCGTCCCTCCTCGCCGGCCCGCGGCTCGTGTGGGGAGGCTTCGGCACTGCACCTGGCGGGCGCTCTCCCTCGGCGCGGCGGGCGGCGGGGGGAGGAAAAAACTCTTCGCGAGAACGACTGCGGCCGCAAACACCAAACCGGGGACCGTATAACGTCACGTTGCCCCGGGTGTAAATATGAGGGCGGTGGATTCGCATTTCAGCACCTGGCAGCAGACGAAGCAACTGGATGGCTAAATTATTGAGGTCTGAATCAACCCCTGCCCCGCCACGTACACACCAGCTACCAACGTCGGAATCGGCAAGCTGTTGCGTGTCGTCGTGTCGTTCTTGCGTGTCGTCGTGCCATCGTTGCAGAGTGTCAGTGGAGGCCTCGGCTGTTGCGTGTCGTCGTGTCGTCGTCGTTGTGTGTTGTTGTGTCACCGTGTCGTAGTTGCGTGTCGTCATGTCACTGTTTCGTGTCGTAGTGACGTGTCATCGTGTCGTCGTTGTGTGTTGTTGTGTCACCGTTGCGTGTCACCGTGTCGTAGTTGCGTGTCGTCATGTCACTGTTTCGTGTCGTAGTTGCGTGTCACCGTGTCGTCGTTGCGTGTTGTTGTGTCACCGTTGCGTGTCGTCATGTCACTGTTTCGTGTCGTAGTTGCGTGTCATCGTGTCGCCGTGTCGTTGCAGAGCGTTGGTGGAGGACTCAGCTGCCCGCGAGACCCGGCCATGTTCGCGTTCCGCCCGCTCGCCTCTCCGGCCGACGTGTTGGGATGCAGCCCGGCCGTCCCCGGCTCCACCGCGGCACCCGACCCGTGACCCCGTGACCCCGTGACCCCTGTGTCCCTGGCCCCCTTTGACACCCGCGAGTCTGTCGCGTCTTCGTCGAGGCTTGACCATTCCACAGTTTATTTACGGAGTCGCAGGCGTGGAAGGAAAAACAAAAACGCCGTCGCGGTGACGTCGAACTGACTCGGGCAAATCGCGACGGCGATGTCGGGGGAAAATGCAGGCCGGCTCGATGGAAAAAGTGACGCGAAAGTTCACGGGATCGTGTTAATGTCACGACGCGTTTAAACTTACGGCCTACAGTTATTGCGATGCGGTGGGGGGGGGGGGGGGCAAAGGGGCAGTTTCGGAGCGAGCGGTTTGCATTCGTGCACGTGGGTAATGAAGAATGTAATGAACCGATTGAATCCGACGACATCTGGGCTATCTGATGAAGCGGTCGGAAATGCGGGCGGCAAAGAAAAAATTGATTCCAGCCGTGGTTGTTTCGGAGGAGGCGGCCGTCGCCTCGTGCAAGAACGGTGCAGCAGAGTTAGCAAGCGATGCCAGGGGGAAATGCGGTGCGATGGAGGACCCGGGTCAAGGCAGCTGGCTATTATCGTGCCAATGCGATGATCTCTGTCACGTGTGATAGCGAGGGTCCGAGGGACGGCATTCCAGGTCATGCGGATGTTGCTGAATGGGTTTACGACGACGTGGACTGTGAACGGCCGTGCATATCGACAGCTCTTGCTCGTTCACTCAGTGTGCAGAGGGGGAAGGTAGCGAAGGTGATGCTTACGTTGCCACGTGTCATGGTTTTTCCAAGGATCGTTCCTCTTGTTGAGGCAGCTGTTGTCCTGGGAACATCTGTACGTCTTCCCGGGACGTCACTCTACAATACACCACGGCAAAGCAAAGGCGATATATATTCACGCATAGTTCTCCCTTTCTTCCCGTGATATGTCTTGGATATTTTAGCTCCGAGGTGCCAAGTCTAAACATAGCAGACACGAATCGCCGAAGCTAGACTACATTCTTCCTCATGCTGTGTTTTGTAATTTGCTATTTCGGCCATAGCTCACTGCAAACAGTGTGGCTCTGGGAGCCCTTTTGCTTATCGCCAGGCCTCTACAACAGCCAATTACGCACCCGCCAGTACGAATGTATGTGTGTTGAACTTCTTTCACACGTTACGTAGCCAACCGTGCTCACATCGGAGGATGCGGATAAGCCGGAGCCCATCGGCCCACAGAGATCTGCTCCACCCCACGGCGTCCCTCTCGGTGGCCTCTCTCGACGATAACGCCATCGGTCCGCTCGAAAAGGGAACCGTTGTCTTCCTGAGACGCTTGCTGTCACCCCGAAGTGTTTGTCGCATCATCCAAGGGACGTCGTCGTCAACCCCTCGCATGGAAAGTGGTGCGCGAGGCGTTCACGAGTCCCATGTCGGACTACTCGCTGGGTAAAATAACCACGAGATGATTTCTCCCAGCATGCACTGCTCTCGTGTAAACCGTGGAATGTTCAAAATCAAAGAAAGAGGAAGGGTGGGGGTGAAACATCACTTGGATTTATTTATTTCTCCCCCCCCCCAAACCCCATGAACACATGCAATGGGAATCCTCAGAATCGGCCGCTTGTCTGAGAGACGCCCCGTGGCTGTGGGGAACATAGTCCCCTCTGACGGCCACCTCCAGCGGGAGTTTTTATTTTGTTTTGTTTCTCCAAACGAAGACGAAGAAGAAGAAAGTGTTCTGCAGAAAATGCAAAGTTGTCGTACTGTTCAGTGAATGCTGCCTTATCTTGCAAGTGTTTTACACGTGTTTCCTAGGTACGCATGGACGGTTAAGTGTGACGATTCCAATTCGTTTTTTTTTTTCGCTGAAATAATTTATGTTTATCCTCGAACTGTTACACACCGTGGTGAAATTTTGTTTGTGTTTATTTTTCTCGTCGGTTACGCTTAAGTGCAGTATATTAAAGTGGATAAAACACAATTGCTTTTTTTTATCCTTCTCCATTTTGGCTTCGTAATATTTATGGCCTAGCAATGGAATGCAGTCTTTTCTTTTGTATTTATCAGTCCCCCTGTGTAATGTGAGTGTCCATGGACGGACGCCTTCGCATCAGGGACAGAGCCATTGTGCGTGTCGTGGTGGGTGTGTGGGGGTACGGACACGGCCAGCACGTTCTGTAGGACACTGCCAAGACACATAACATTTCGGACGAAACTCGACCATCGTTTTTTTTTAGACCACGCGTGCGTCGCCTTCTCCTCCTCCTCCTTGAGTCAGGCGACGTGAACTCCCATCGCGTCGACGACCGCCCAAGCAGCGGGCAGTAATTAACGGTAGTATTAGCGTATATCGGGTGACTGTACATCGGTAATCTCACCAACAACCAACGGGACCCATTCCCTGGTGGGACTCCTCCATCCAAAGTGTGTCCTCGTCCCTATGCTACACCATGTTCTAGAGGCCGTCGACTCGTGTCCACCTTCCAACCTGCACTGCAAAGCCGATTGTTCAACTTGCCTTACGATAGAGCCTTGGTGTGTGCGCAGGAAATAGGCGGCATCGTTTGCCACCGATCGCACACATCGGCCCGGCCACGTGGACCGGAGTGTCAACTTCCCCTTGCGTCTAAAAGGTGGAGGCATCTCGGGGTGGATCTGCTGAGGTGATCGACCGTTGACAAAGAGTCGTGGGGTCACAGCAAAGCAATGCCGTAATTATAATATATATTGGGGGGGGGGGGGACATACCCCCCCCCCAATATTCAAATAAGCTCAAAATATCCCCCCCAATATATTGCTATAAACAATATTTTGAAAAATAATAATTGCTATGCTATGTAAATAAAAACAACATTTTGCTAAACCTTGGCCACAATATCTGGACTTGTCGTCATATAACAATGCATAGATTTCTGTTTATATGAGTGTGGTTATGGTTGTACTTTATTAATCCCTAATCTCTGCCATTACAAACAATGAAACAAGAACAGGTAAAGAAGAAAAAACAGAGCAATGTAATACAATGCACTATTAGACATTATTGTAAAACATAAATTTAAAAAGTCCATCCCATGTGTTAGTGAATTTTTATAATGTTTTAGGCAGTTAATTCGTTTTCAAATTTAGATTTTATTTTCTGGGGGTGGGGGGGGCCCTAGACGCCCTGGAAGATTTGGTCCCCCCCAATGTTGACTCCATGGCTATGGCCTTGCTGCAAAGGGTCCACTCGGCCCGCGGCACCCACTGCGTCATTTAGTCGAATGAAATGGACAGTCGTCTCGTTAGGCGGTGTATCGGCCGCGCGTGTTTATTCATTTCACACTTGGGTTCACCGCCAGCTACCGGGAGCCGACGTACAATAATGATAATTGTCAGGAAAGTGAAAAATTGCTCGTTAATGTAAAACTCCATAATAGAGGGTTTTTTTTTAGGTTAGATCGCGTAAATATATAAATGTGTCGTTAAACCCGCCACCACCCGACACAGCCAATTAGTAAGGTTTGTCACGTAAACAGAACGTGCCAATTCGTTACTAGTACAGCACACCGGTGTGTTGGAGAGCCAAGCCACAATATTAACAATCTGAGTACGACGTTTCGCCAGTAATTACAACCAGCTTCATCAGGCGACAGCCAGTTGTAAAACTCCCGAACACTCGACTCAAAATTCGAGAAGTTTCTTTGGAACATCGTTTTTTTGTTCAAATATGGCACGACGTTAAAAAAAAACTAATTAAATACACACACGCGCGAGTGCGAGAATGTTTTTAATTTACCACTCGTAGTGTTTCTTTCCAGAATAAAAAAAAGTTAAACCAGAAACGTAGTGTTACTGTAATGTCGGTCTTATGCCACGTGCAACATTGTCCAATGTCCATACACGATGTTGAACCGTCACAGGAAATCATATTAACAATTGGCCTTATGACATACTTAGGTTTAAACATTGAGAAAGAGACATTGATACGCGTTACATATATTTGCCTATATATTATACATCGACAAGACTGTACTATGCAGTGTCCGTACAGGGTGGGCAGGGTACCCAAAACTATTAAATCGTTATTAACGTGATCGTTGATGTGTAAGGGTATCGGGATCTCTGAGTCACTCTGTGGTTATCGCTAAATAGCCAACGAGCAACGTCAATTGCCACTTTGCTCACGTGGCAAACTTGGTGTGCCTGGCTGTGGCGGGAGCGTGCGTCGCTCTTAAGTAGATTATACCAGCACTGATTTGACCCAAAATGAAACCGATTTTAGTAGTAATAATAATCATCACAAGGCCTTGTTTCCATTCATACGCTTGATTTGAAACATTGGCAGTTGGCAGCCGTTTTTAGTTTCATGAAGATCACAGCTCCTGTTTGGGTTGTCAGAGCTGCTCTTACTTGCTTGGTTGTTTTATTAAATCGAAACCTCTGTTATAATTTGTGTTTAACAAGGCAGGATTTTGCATATGTACCAGATAGCAATCGATGCTTTCCGATACATCTGTTGTACATGTAATGGAACAAATAAGAATTAGTTTTACCCTTTCTGGCAATAAAACAGGTGTTAAGATGTTCGAACACCAAACAGAAACCTCTTGCAAGGAGTTTAACACGTAGGCTTTCGCGACCAATATTATTCAAAAGCGAGGGCTTTACCATTCTGGCGAATTGCCCGATGATGCTGGATGTAATTACCAGCGAAACGTCGTACTCAAACTGTAAATGCTGTGGATTCACTCTTCAACACACCGGTGGGCTAAAGTAGTGAATTATTTGTATTTTGTCAACGTGACACTTTTTTTTGCTGATTGGCCATGTCGGGTGGTGGAGGGTTACGACACATTTATAAATAACGCGATCTAACCCTCTTGCAAGAAGTCGAGTCGACATTAACCGCACGCACTACTTGTGGTGAACATGCAAACAAACACGCTCTGATAATGTATACATTGTCTTTGAAACTGATTGACCTACACCAGAGACAGCCTCCTTTAGGGCCTAAGTCTCAGGTTTATATTTGGTGTTTGGACATCTTAACACCTGCTGTTTCATTGCCAGAAAGGGTAAAAACCCTATTCTTTTTTCCTACTTTGATGCTGGCAAAAAAGGTCCCATTTTGCATGTAATGGGTTCACACCATCCCTGCGGCTACCAGAGGCGCTACCATTCACAGCAATGTTAACAACAAAATAGTTTTACGATGCAATCGCGAGATCCTGAATGGCAAACAATTCAACGAGCCCGTCGAGGCGGTGTGGAAGATTGGTCCGGCCACAGTGACGCGTGGACAGCTCGCAGTGACGGTCACAACTTTGATACTCACAGCGACTCATCGGTGACTCTGCGGGTTGGGCCGCGTCAATAATTTAGCCAAATTTCGGTGTCGTCAAGACCCTCCGCCACCCTGCACGCGTACGAAGTGTTCACCTCGCCAATTATTTTCGTTCCGGCTCAGCGTTAGGACAAAGACCAATTCTCACACAACCAATGGCCGGATCGTCACGTGGCTTTAAGCAAAAGAGAAAAAAGTTTAATAAACCCATAACAGTAATTATGATTTGTGGGATCAACATGCCTCAACCTGCATGTTAAGTGTAACCACAGTGTATTGATTCCCGAGCTCTCGTAAACTGCTCTGATTAGTCCAAGCACATTCTTGGATGAAGAAACTTGTAGTAATAATAATAAGCATAATATGTGACGGAGTTACTATGAGCCGTTCTTTTATAGACACTGTCTGGCATTAATGTGCAATTTGGAAAACGGACTATGCTTTTCTTGGCTGGCGTAAGAGCCTAAATGGGGCTTAACCATTTATTCCTAAAAGTGTGTGCGTTCATATAGCGCAAGTGTAAAAGCAGCTCGCACAGACAGTGCGTGATGCTTGACACAATAAGCCTGGATTTCAATGTCCACTTCTCTTCCATGGGATCCAGATTGTCTGTGGTTGCAGTTGAGAGCATGCTGACCCGCCCAACACTGGACATCTGTGAAAAAGATCTTCACAGTGCTTCGGATTCCTCCTGCAGCAGGGATCCAATGAGCTATGAAGCTCGCCTATTATTGAATGTCTGTTCAGGGGGCCCTGAGCAGACATTCTCCTCGAAAGTCTCCTTTCAATCTATGAAGCACTGGTAAGACGACAGAAGAGATGTGGGATGAGAAAGATGTCGAGCAGGGCTCTGAAACCTGCGGCTCTCTAAATGCTACTTCGTGACGTGGTGTAACGCTGGCATGTTACGCATTCACGTGCATTGTGGCTCTTGAAATATTGAATTTTGTACCGAAGTCGAACCAAAAAAAACCCGCTGCTCTTCTTGTCATTTTTATTGCCGATCACCCTGATGTAGACAAAAGTAGAGATGTGATGAGACGTGACAAGAGAGACGTTCTTGTCATCATCGATTCTGATCATTTGGAGCAACAGCTGCTGCTGGCCTGGTTGCTTGCCCTGGCTTGGTCTGTGCGGTTCCTCAGCAATTGTGAGAGGGATGCAATTTGCATGGACGATGACGACGCTAAATAAAGATAAACATTCTCATTGTTCAATGCGGACAAGATAGAAAGTGGAGATTAATTGGGAGTGGTGGGGGCGGTTCACGTGAGTTTGCGTGTTCTGTTCATGCCGTTTTAAATTCGAGCTGCTATTTGATGCATCCATATGTTTTGTCATGAGTTAGTTTGATGTCCTTCCCGTGCGCCTCCGATGAGCACGGTTTGCTTACATACGGTGCGAAAGAAGTTCAGCACACACGTGCGTGCATGCATACGTACAAACGTTCTGAATCCGGGCCCCCCTTGAGCTACTTGGGGGGCCCTGAGCTTTTGCTTGGTCGACAGTCCTCATTGATGCGTTGTGCCCGGCGCTCGTGGCCAACATCTGTTCATCGTTTGCTGGGCGTTCGATCTTTTTGTGTTTTTTTTGTTGTTGGGCGACCGGCGCGAAAATGCGGCGACTTTCGCTTCGTGATTTTTTTTGGCCGCGATCCG